TCGCAGGATGGTCCTCAGGCATCGGTGGCCAAATACCTCCAGTCTTCGCTCATTTTCAGCGCGCATAGCTCAGCATTTACATCCATATTGGAGGACCGGCCGGATGGACGCACGATATACACGAATCTTCGTGGCCGTGGAGTTGTTGCGTCGGATACATGGCCGCTTTCGAAGGATTGAGAAAACCCACCGGGCAGCACCGATACGGGAGATACTGTTGTCCTTGCTCTGCCCTTTCGGTAGCAGCCCTGCCCCAAGGTACTTAAAACTGTCTACTTCTTCATGTTGATGACCACTAATCCGCAGGTGTGCCTTCTCCTGTTCAGGGATGCAGCTCGAGAATAACTTTGTTCTTCTGGAATTTAAGGACATACTAACCAAATTAGCGATTTCATTTACCCATGACACTACAGCATGTAGAACACCAAAGCTTGAGGCAAACAGCGCAATATCATCAGTATATTCGAGATCAGTGAGCGGGCGTCCGGGTGCAAGCTCAAAACCGTCCTGTTTATGTAGGGTCTTCCCGAGAATCCAGTCAATGACGTAGTAGAGTACGTGACATGTTGCACGTAAAAGGTAGGTGTGGGCAGAACCTTCTTATTATTGTTTTGCTGGTATCGAATGATTGCATGAAGAATGAGCTGGACTGTCTTTTATTACCGAGCTCTTCAAAATATAAAAACAAATGCTTCTCCTCAAAAACCGAGTTATGTCGTCAATTAAACCAGAGAGCACCAGTTTACCGAGGTATTGGTGCCAGACATTCCATTTGATGATCAAAAGCATATGTATTAGCATCTATGCTTTTATTCATCGTTTATTTGATATAAACTGCAATATCGGCCAAGCTAGACGAATAAAACCTACTAATCCTTGTTTTTGACAAATATAAAAAGCGGATGTGTTGCATACCCCTATGTGACAAGTTAGCTGAACACATTTTCACGCAGCCATCGGCTACGAAGAAGGTGATGTTTTTGCTAAGCCATGAGGTAGTGACCACTGTTTCAGTTTGAAGAAGGTCTACTTTGTGTCTTCAGCCGGAAAAAAGTATTTCACTACATTTTCTGCGGTCGTAACAAAATCAGCCTTAGCCAACACGAATGGTCAGTTAGTTTTTAGTCACCAACAGCATACAGGCATGCACAAAATAGTTAGGCGTACGCTTATTTAGCGCAAGCTAATGATACGTAGCCATGAAAGCCGACATTCTGTCGCAAAGTAGGTTCTAAATGCACCCGAAAAACGTCATGCCTATGCAGTAATGTGCCAAGTCATCTTTCATCAAACCAATGGTTTATAATCAGTCTAAGACAACTGACACAGTTTGCAATATTCGCGGAACGTGACATTCTCTCTTAAATACCTTCACTTATTTGTATGATTTTAAAATTCTCCATCGAAATTGTCCACGAAAAAAGTGGCGCTGAATCGGTTAATTTTGCAATACTACGGCTCAGAGCATCCGCATTTCGCTAAACTGGCCTACAGTTAAAAGATAACAAAAAAGTATCGTGCAAAAGGCCAATTTGGAAGACATATATCCTTGGAAGTAATAATGAGCTTTTCCTACCCTTCAATAAGGACAAGCATCGAAGAGCATAAGGAAGGTAAACAAAAAAGTTGAAAAGATAGGAGGGCAACTTTCACCAAAACGAACAAACCGGAAGACCGGGCTGGAAGTTAACTGGTAAAAAGTGGTATAGGAGACTATTTTAGAAAAATGTGACTTTATTTTCCAAATATATGAAAGGGAGTTCATATGGGGAATCGGGGGCCGTATGCTTAGTAGATGTCAGACCTATGTGTTTAGGACGCATCAGCTGACATGTTACATTTAGTCAGTGAGTGTGTGAAGGAAGTTCTTATTATTGATTAGTTGGTATCGAATGATTGTATTAAAAATGCGCCACCGCGCCGAAATGTCAGCTCGCCAAAAAAACTCTGTACTGACCACGCGGACCGCGTTTAAGTTCAAATAGCCAAACATGGCATCACATGTACCAGACACTTTTGAATGTGTTCCGAAAGACAAGTTTGTGAATTCTGCACCTCGTTTGTATAACGGTCGACTGCGTCGGATTTAATGATGAAACTAGTAGCCTCTTCGTGTTATTTTCATTTTGGGACCTGCGGAAAAATCCACCGTCTCAAATTTGAGATCTGGGAAAGATGCAAATAGTATGCACATTTTCCGATCGGCAAATGAATCCTTCTCTCATTAACGGGTGCTTAAGTAGGTTCAGATAACTCCTCTGGCCAAATTATAAAAGACTCAATCGCTTTCCATGCCCTGAGAAGCAAGACAGCCAACATGTTTACCACCCGAGACCACAAAAGCCGCGTTATTGCTCACATTTGGGTCAACTTTCCTTTCGGACGTTTGAAATCGACTAAGGTTGATGCCGTGAGCTGATTGCTCTAACTAGATCTTCTTAGCAGTAAATCTAGAATCCACCAGATGACTGACAATCCTGAATGACTGACGTGTCGGTTTGCTTCCGGAATCGCCCTTTTATTCCTTCTGTTTTTGCCGTATGCAACCGAAAAATCCTCTCATTCTTACATTACCAAGAATGGCGAAGGCATTCATCTATTTTTGCAAGAATTGTTTATGTGGATCTCCAGCAACACAGATAAAGACTAACGTTAAATTTAATGGAAATAGGCAGTAAGATTAAGGCTAGGATGGGATTTGATTTAGGTTTCAGATTTTAATTAAGGCAAGCTCCGGGTTAGGATTCAGCTCGTGGATAGGGCCTCAGTCGGGGTAGTGTGAGGCTTCAAAAAAGGAAATGGTTACCCTTTCTGAGATTAAGCGCACATCCACCTGTCTTGCGGGAGGCTATCGGAGGGTGGGGAAAGGGCACGGGGTTAAACAAACGTTTTCTATCAGTTTATCCATTTCGAGGTTTTAGAATTCTAAAGCATTTATTCAAAGGTGAACAGAGTAGACGCGTTCTTCGCAGGCAACATATAAGCACGCAGAATAGTTCTGGAACGAAAAGAAAAATCACACTGCCTGTACCGAATATTCCTTTAGGCTATGGCTAACAAAATTGAAGAGGACTTTCGTTGGTTATGCTCTTGCGTTCGTAAGTACGAATAATAAACTCGAGGAAAAGCCTAATTAGGCAAAAGGGATGATGCTTGCTAGTTTAACTACGGGAAGCTTCATTTTGCATGGAGTCCTGACAACTTCCGGTCTGAAGAAATAGCGCGCACAGGCTTTGAATCGTTGTATGTCATCGACACGCAAATGCAGGATGCCACAAATGCACAGTCTAAAATAAAGAAGAAGTATTTGCAGGATAGTCCTTCTTAATATCCTCAAGAACACTAGGAAAGTTGTGTTAACAACCACAAATTATATGGTTTTCCAACCACATATTTCATTTTCCTGAGGATACCATAAACAAAGTCTTCATGGTGCTAAATGTACGTATACTAAAGAGTAGTTTCTTACGCGACTACCGAAAACCTGCAAAAAGGGTAGCTCGGGATCCATGCCCAGCACTTCAACGTTTGCCTACTTCGGTGGTCTGAATAAATGAAATGACCTTATGCATGGACTCTAATCGCTGATTGAGATGTACTCATAGCAATAATTATTACTAAATATGTTGCAGGTATCGCCAGTAGGGAGAAACTTTAAAGACAAAGGCATATACGAAAACTAATGCGTGGGGTGACTGTTTGCATAACCCTGAAGACTTACAAGGCCGTGGTCTTCACGAGACTCCTGTATGGTGCAGAGATCTGGATAGTCTACTCCAGCCAGGCTCGAAAACTGAGTAATTTCCATTCAAGCTATCGCCGTAGAATACTCAAACTGACATGGCTGGAAAAGATCCCAGCCGCGGAAGTCCTGGACTGAACCATAACCCTCAGAATCCACGATATACTGAGGCAAGTGCAACTGTGATGGAGCGGCTACCTGGTGGTGAACGACTGCTTATCTAAATGACCTTTCTACGAAGATTTTGATACAGGGGTTCGCAGGCGGTGAGGACAAAAATGAGGCGGTAGGCTAGGATTGGGCTTTTTATTTAGGTGTCATGTGGCAATTAAGGCAAGCTCAGGGTTAGGATTCAGTTCATGTTTAAGGTTTCAGTCAGGGTTTGTGTTAGGCTTCCGAAAAGGGAATCGTTACCCTTCTTGAGATCAAACGTATCTTCAGCTTTCGGGGGAGGGGTGCACGGCGGTACACAAACAATTTCCATCAATATTTACATCTCCAGGTTTCAGAATTCCAAAGCATTTATCTAAAGGTGACGCTCTGTGCAGAAAACGTGGCAATCACAAAGAATTCTGGTTTAACAAAAAGGAAAATACTATTCTTTGCGTTGACTATTCACTTTGGCTGTAACTGACAAAAACTGAAGAAGTGTTTGTTGGGAAGGGATATATATTCGTAAGCGGGAATAATAACATCGAGGAAATGCCTAGTTTGGCAAAAGAGATAAGTCTTACCAGTTTATCTACCGGATACTTCATTTTTAATGGAGTCGTAACAACTTCCGGCCTGAAAAAAATCATACTCACAAAATTGGAATCCTTGTATGTCATAGACGCGCAACTGCAGAGTGCCACAAATGCACTATCGAAAATAAAAAGAGCTTGGCCAGTATAGGTATTGTAACTATTTCCAACGACACTGGGAGCGTTATAGAAACATCCACGAATTATATGGTTTTCTAACAATGTATTGCGTACTCCAGGGCACACAACCTTGCGCAAATACCGAAAGTCTGCAAAAGGATTGCTTTGGATCTACGTCATCGTTTGCGTACTTCTGCATTCTGAATTAACTAAGTGACCTTATTCATAAGCTTATCTCAGCTAGAGGTAAATACACCCAGTAATAATTATCAATAATTATGTTGCAAAAGTTCCTATAAGGGAGCAAATTTGAAAACCAAGACATATGCGCAAACGAATGCTCCTAAATGTGATTGAGAGCGTATGTAGCCCTGAAGATGTACAAAGCCGTCGTCTTAACGAAACACCTGTATGGACCAGAGATCTAGATCTTCTACTCCAGCCAGACTAGGAAGCTGAATAACTTTTATTCCAGCTAGCTCCACAGAATAATCCAACTGAGATATCAGATGATCGCAACCCCAGAAGTCCTGGAACGAACCAGAACCCTCAGTATCCACGCCAGGCTGAGGCAATTGCAACTGTGAGGGAGCTGCCACCAGGTAAGGATAGTGAACGAGTGAGAAGTAGAAGACGACTCGATCGCTGGGACAATATGCTTCTTCGCCTGACGTTTCGAAATCCGTCGCAGATTCATCTTCAGAGACATACTAACAGAACAGTAGCAGAAAGAGTTTGTGTGTGCACAGGGTTCCGCCGTAAAATTTAAATGTACAGAAAAAATCGATACATGCTTGGAATAATGGATTGGGCAATCGTTGCACTTGTTGATGGATTGGGGGCCCGTGAACCATAACTCAAGTAATTATTGGCTCACTCTATTGTCACCTCTTGCCAGAATTTCGGCCACATCCAATTTGAATGTGTGGCCGGCTTTCGTTGAATGAGCCGCAACTTGAGAATTGGCATCATTTTGCCGCACTGCTGCCGCGTTTTCGGTAATTCGCGTCTTGAGAAACCTGCCAGTTTCTCCGACATAGTTGCTTTGTCCGCAACTGCATCAGATCCTGTAAAGGCCGAAATTATTGCAAGAGGTGACAATAGAGTGAGCCGAGAGCTACTTGAGCCATGGTTCACGGGCTCAAATCCATCAACAAGTGCAACGATTTGCCCAATCCATATTCGGTGCTGAGACTAAATTTAACCAAAGCAGATCGCCGTTCGGAGAACAGACGGGCCACTACATCCTCTTATGCTAACACCGCAAGGCCAGAGAGTCATGGCTGACACAACGAATCAAAACACACTCAGAGCATTTATCGATTTTTTCTGTGCGTTTAAATTTTACGGCGGAACCCTGTGCACACACAAATTGTTTCTGCTACTGTTCTGTGAGTATGTCTCTGAAGATGAATCCGTGACGGATTTCGAAACGTCAGGCGAATAAGCATATTGTCCCAGCGATCAAGTCGTCTTCTACTTTTCAATGTCTTCCTGGGACCCGCATGTTCGCTTGTGTTAGCAATAGTGAATGAGTGCCTATCTAAAGGACTTTTCTACGGATGTGTTGCTCTGTGGCCTCACATGACGTGCCCACGCCATGGTAAACAAGCCAGCTATGGCGGATTCGCCCACACCAGCCATGCGCGGCTTCTACAGCTGTCGGTCTTTTTCACGTGATCATGACAACGGGTCCATGTGGAGATGCGAAGAGAGTGTAGTAGATGCAACGCAAGTCACCGCGCTTGCTTGCGTCCTGCGCCGAATCACGTTGTGGCTTTCCGTTTACAGTCTGCCTTAACTAAGAAGTAATGGTTTTTACGGGGATGGTTTCGTTTACATGTGGCAAGATGCCAACGACGTAACTATGGATACGGTATAAAAAGGCTTTTTGACTGCATAGAGTGAGTTTTGCTTACCAGATTGCCACTGACTCTGCTGTGGCTGACACCCGTTTGCGCAGGCCTTTGGAGTAGTGTGTTGGCGTGTGATATATGACCCGAAAGGCGTCTCTCGCGTCCACTTGGCAGGTCGTATCAATTAAGTGGGCGAGGATTGAGCTTGAGATCGGCCTGTTCTCTCCCTTGCTGAACCAGGCTAGTATGTGCTCGCGTATTCTCTTCTCCAGACGTCGCATTGTTCGATCAATATATCCCGCTCCAGAGCAGAGGCAGTGGCAATCCGGTAAGCGATACCCATTTGATGCTGTAAAAAGGCGCTGGTACAACCAATCTGTCTCCCTTGGCCGACTGCACGCAGAAACCCCAACCCTCCTGAAGCCACGTCGTCCGAAAATATACAAAACGAAGCCACAGAGAATAGTTAAGCGCAAGTTGCGCGGCTGACATACAGACCTCAACCTGCAGAATAACTAATTTGACCAATTGTGAAGAATTCGGCAGCCTTGGCGATATTGGAACCCACGCCAGCAAGCGGCAGGCTTGCTGGCTGTAACCCACTGAGCTCTGAGTTTAATCACACTTTCGTTGCATAAACATCTCGTAACGTTCGTAAATATTTCTCATTTCTCTTACCAAAACCTTGTTTATTTCAGGCAGTCAATTAGACTTTAACTAAATAGCACAAACCTTGGCGGTTGAAATAAACTATTAAGCGTGCAGCATGGCCGTTCAATATATTTGCGGGTGTCTTAATGTCTTTGTCGTGAAAAGGTTCCAGCAACTGGGACAAAACACATTAATGTACGTGGTTGCGCATTTACACTGAAGGTGTGTGCGGCGCTTCGTACCGCGGACTATATTAAACTAACTCCAGAAGGGTAAGTTGGACCACAGGCAAGTTGAAGTAGATGACCACCATTTCTCTTTTTTGACTAATTAAAAAAACAATCTAACATAATATTCTAATGAATACAATACGTAAACACTTTGAAACGCCTATTAGTCTGTTGGTCGTTCACCCTGCATTTTATTGGCTTTTCTTTTATCCGCCACATGTTTTAGATAGTCACTCACGTAAATAAAGTTGGCTGTCTGCATAAATTTGTAGAAAACCATTTGTAAAATTGGATGAGAATCCTTGCAGTATCCCGTGATGACGTCAGCATTTACGCTATTTTCCGCCGCTATGCTCATATGCGCCCAATTTGAGAGTAGGGTACTTAACCATGCAAACGTCAGCACAGATAAAGTGGCCAACGCAACGCTTTTATGCGTAGTAGTAATTGGCAGCAGAGGGGATAGACCGAAAACGCCTATTGACGTAAGCAAATTTCTAGAAATACAAACTAGATTTGTTTGCAGGATTTAAAATCCACGGCGATTATTTGACGCTTGAAAACACACCTCCTATAAAGGACTTATATCGGCTGCTTTGAGACACCCTGCGTAATAATGATAAAAATGTATATTGAGCAACTATCTGGAGACTAACATTATTATGGTGATTCGGCCTGCCCTTGCACATTGTTCTTAAAACGCAGAGTCGTTCTTAAGTGTGTTTTTTAACCTCAAAAAGGATAGCATAACTTGATGCATCCCGTGGAAACCAAGATGGCGGAAACCTGATCATCCTTTTTTTTCGAGATTGCAAGCGAAGAGCGCAGTTTTCTTATTTCGTCCGGGTAACTTGCCACGAAGTTCCGAAAGAATTTACGATGACCCCTTGTCGTCATTGGTCAGTGGCTAAAACCAGACCAGTACGGAAAGAAATTCTAAAGTTTTCGCTCTCTGGTTAGTCGTCGGCTGGACCATCGTTTGCGAAC